GTTAATCGTTCATATATTTTAGGAATCCATGCAATCATAAGGATGTTGGTACATCAAAGACTCAGTCATTTACTGATGTAAATTCCCCAACAGAGGATAGTATTTAACCACCAGGGAAACGTGACAAGAATAAGTCTTTAATATTGCTGTGGGTCTATATTGTATCAGCTGCCCACGTACACATAGCTATTAGAACTACAGAAGACTACAATCTTGCTTGTTCGGCAGTAGTGTGAATTTCTAAGTCTTCTTTCAAACAAGCACCTATTTCTGGAATTTGTGATGATGGCGCCACACCTATGCTCTTTCAACACTGTCTGCTGGTTTCAGCAATGCTTTTGCAGTTGAATCACAAAATATTATATTTGCTTTTGACTCATCAGTCCTCACTGGTCTCCTGAACTCCATCACGTCAGCATCCTATATTTCTTGTTCCTGGGGATTTCAAGGTCCACAGAAAAGAGAGTTTGGGTTTTTTCTTTAGCGGTAATTTAGATATTATATAGGGTTAAACTTTGCAGATAGGTCACCATGTTTTCCTATTAAAAAATTGTGAGGATTTTGATAGAGTTATAATCCAGCTAGAAGGAAGGAATCATGAACTAGAAGGAATAAATCATTCCCAAAGGATAATAATAATAATAACCAAATAGGGACAGCATAGAATTAGACATGACAGCAAGCCAAAGGGCTGTATGGGAAGATGTAAACATCAGAGACATTTGGAGATGGACACAATGTGCAGGTGTTTATATACTAATGTTAGAAGGCCAAAAAGGGGATCTGCAGTGCTTGCTTTTAAGGAAAACATTGTCTATATAGTGGCATAACAGAAGCCTGGTACAAAGGAAAATTAATTTTCAAACTATTGCAACTTTCCCTCCTCCGCCCAATAAGATAGCATAATAAGATAATATTAAATTTAACCAGTTTTGTTTCTTACTTATTTGGTTCTTACTTAATCACTTGAACTTTCAGGTCAGGATAAGGAATGCTACTGTATAAAGGTAAAGGTAAAGGGACCCCTGACCATTAGGTCCAGTCGTGGCCGACTCTGGGGTTGCGGCGATCATCTCGCTTTATTGGCCGAGGGAGCTGGCGTACAGCTTCCGGGTCATGTGGCCAGCATGACTAAGCCGCTTCTGGCAAACCAGAGCAGCACACGGAAACACCGTTTACCTTACCGCTGGAGCGGTACCTATTTATCTACTTGCACTTTGATGTGCTTTCGAACTGCTAGGTTGGCAGGAGCAGGGACTGAACAACAGGAGCTCACCCTGTCGTGGGGATTCGAACCACCGACCTTCCGATCGGCAAGCCCTAGGCTCTGTGGTTTAACCCACAGCGCCACCCGCGTCCCATGCTACTGTATATCTTGGTGTAATAAGTGTTAGGCAAGAAAAACTGGCAGCATAAAGAGCCTAATTGAGGACGTACTATTTCTGTTTCTGCTTCCCATAGAAGTGTTCTCTCATTTCATTACAATTTTGTGAAAGGTTTACAAATGAAAACAGATGAGTTTTTAACTCAGTCAGCTTGCAAGCAACATTACCCAAGGAACTGAGCAGGAGGAAGAATTTTCCCATATTTGGAAGAGTTTCATAGATGCCTGCAACTACCACTAGGTAGTGTGAGATGGCTGCCTCAGGCAGAAGATGAAGAGTAAGGAAGAGCAACAAGGTGTTGGAGGACAGGCCCCTGCATATCTTCACCAGTGTGGTGAAGACTGCTGTCCAGTTGGCTTTTGTACATGGAAAGGAGACAGTTGAGAGAGCCATATTGTTGTTGCCTCAGGCACCACGTTGTCTTTATGCTTCCTGTATATCTCTGTATGTTACCTCATAGAATAGCATTTGCCTCAGGCACTTCTGTGAAGGATGACAAAGAAAACCATTGTGAAATCTATGTTTTGAAGATTTAACAGAAGGGGATGGGTAAATATTATTGATTCAACTAACAGGTATGCTTTCCTCCTGTACTTGTGGGGAGTTCCCATGAATTTCAGAACTCCAAAATGGAGTTAGTATGCCCGTCCTTGTGATTCGCACTTCATGTTTGCTGAATGTGCTGATGGAATGAAGAATGTCAGAGCCTTGAGAGCTGGAAACTGAATGTGTGAATTGGTTTCATTGGAAACCAGTTCACACATTCTGTTGTCTGTCTGTCTGTCTGTCTGGTGCCAAACTGAGAGGGCCCATTCACACGGAAGTCATTACGTGAATTTGCAGTTGTTAACTGATATACTCGCATGTTAGAGCTCAGCTATGTGTGTTACATGTTAAAAACAGCACACACAAGTCTAGCAATATCAGCTCGGGACCATGGATCTATAAGCCTTGTGAGCCAGTGTACTGCCGTAATACAGATTTAGTTCTGAATGTCACTTTAAAAGGAAACAAGTGCCTCTAGGAGACTGTTGAAAGCAAATTGATTTACTTCTAATTGAACAGTTCCTATAAGGATTTTCATTCATATGTTCCTTTTGACAAGATGGTGTTTGAATGAAAGACACCATTTATGACTTCATTCGTCAGTAGGATTTGAAACCTTTTATTAACAGGAGAATTAGTGATAATTCTTTCCCTTTCATAGAGCTGGGGGGGGGGGAGAGCTGCCTTTGGATTGAAGCCGAGGTACTTCTTATTTACTGATGATCTATTAGTCATGTTAAGAAGCATGCATCAGGGTCCTTGATCTCAGAATGAATGTATAGGATGGTGCGGAAGACTCCAAAAGTCTTGCTACTTTCTGAGTATGACTAAGAAGCAGGTGGTGAAATTGGCTGAGCATGAAAAGAGATTGCTGCCGTCAGCAACACTAGCCAGAAATTAAGGCATGGGCTAGAACTCCTGCAGAGGGACAGGGAAAGCTCTGCTGATATCAAGAAGACACCTGGAAGGCTATGATTATAGCTACCACTGGAAGTCTTTAACTGAATTTACAATGCAGGGCTTTTCAATTGATGAATGCTCTCAAAGATCAGATGGCAGTTTCTTCTTCTCTTCTTTGGTGATCACTCGTAGCCGAGTAAGATTGTCTTCCATAAACACGGTTTTAACAATGAGTCCGTAAGTGACTGTGGAGTCCAGTTCTGGTGCACACCACCTACAACTTCTCGTTAGCATTCTGAATGCCAGGGTATCTTTTGACAAGTCCGGGTTCCACATTTTGTTCTGCAGATAGCTATATTTTCTTCTATTGCGAGAGCCTGCAAAATTGATTTCTGTCTCGTAGCCAAAGTCTTCCTGCCAGTCTTTGTTGTCACAAAGACGGCCTAATAAGATTTCTCATTTAATCAATTATTTCCTGCCATTATCTTAGGAAAATGCCTCCTAACATTTCAGGGAGTGTGTCCAAGGTCACAGTGTTGTTGAGTGCAGTGGTGTGCAACAGCCACACAATTTACCTTCTTTCTGTACCTATAGTGTTTGGAAGCAGCCTGATCCAGTAGAAGGAGCCACTGTATCCCAATCTGATTTGTTATTTGGGTCTGAATTTGATCTGCTAAATCTGCTGTTTTGCTCCACCCTCCTAATCTAAAAAAAAAAAAAAAAAAGCTTTAACTTTGCCCCTCTTTTTCACATAAGTGGATGGAATTTGCAAGCAAAGGAGCCCCTCCAGAATGGTTCAAGCCTGCCAAACTTTAGGCAGGTCCATGCAGGGGCCATCATGCAAGGAAACTAAAAGTTTGATGATTTAAAAGAAAAAGGCACAGTCATTTTCTGCCAGAATTGGAGGTAAATTGCAAGCATGGTTGCCCCTTCTGAAGGAATGAAGCCTGCCAAATGCCAGAAAGACAGATGAAGCAATTCTCTCACAAGGGCAGACTTCAACATTTCGGAGTGGGAAAATAGAAATCAAGCCTGATTTTCCCTCTGCCAGTGTTTTCCTGTGCCTTAGTCTGTTCCTCAGCATTGCCTCGTGCAAGCACAGCAGCTTAAGCAAACCATGGCCATGGTGGATGCCCCCTTACAGGGAAGGGAAGGGCTGCAGCCCAGAAATAGGGACCAGGCTGTGCATGCAGAGGCTCTGAAACTCAATCCCCAACATCTCCTGGAAGGCCACTGCCAGTCAGTGTAGGCAATACTAGCTATAGTCTGACTCATTTTCCTAGGATGCCCATGGTAGATGCCTTAAAAAAGAAGAAGAAGATGTCATCTGTGGAAGTAACTGCCTAACCCATGGTCAGTATCTTGTTTAAATGTGGTGTTAATCTACAGTTCCACAATGCTGTAATTTCTCAGCAGTGTCGAGTTGATGCTATCCTTACCTAATCTCATTGTCCCTTGAGATTTAGACCAGGGCGACTGACCTGTGGCCCTCAAGCGGCTGGGGCTGATAGGAATTGGAGTCCAACAATGTCTGCAAGCCGCACTTGACTTAGACTGATGTAATCATTGCACGTATTTAATACATTTTGCGTCAAGAATCTTAGGCACCGAAGCATCATAGGCAGTTGCATTTTTAATAACTGACGTATTGTTCCCTTTTGTTTGCAGTTTCACAGAGAAGCAAAATATTGGCTTCTTCAGACTTTGTTGTTTTTCCCTTCCTAGTATTAAAGGTAAAGGTAAAGGTACCCCTGCCCATACGGGCCAGTCTTGACAGACTCTAGGGTTGTGCGCTCATCTCACTCTATAGGCCGGGAGCCAGCGCTGTCCGGAGACACTTCCGGGTCACGTGGCCAGCGTGACAAGCTGCATCTGGCGAGCCAGCGCAGCACACGGAACGCCATTTACCTTCCCGCTAGTAAGCGGTCCCTATTTATCTACTTGCACCCGAGGGTGCTTCGAACTGCTATGTTGGCAGGCGCTGGGACCGAGCGACGGGAGCACACCCCGCCGTCCTAGTATTAACCACAACTATTTAAAAAATTAAACATTTTAAAGCTTGGCCTTTAGAGCTCTTCACATTTATTTCTTGCTTTACAAAGGTCAGTATTGATTTCCATGAAGAAACTGTGTTTGGAGTAGAAAATGGAAATAAATGCTGCTGCTGCTGCTGCTGCTGCTGCTGCTGCTGTTGTGATGAACCAGCCTATAATCTGTAAATCAATGCAAAAACTTTATTTAATGGTTTAGAAACTAAATGGATGCAATCTAATTAACTCTTCTAGCTGTGAAACGTATTTATGTGAATTAATTTTTAATACTCGGTGCTGGGAGCAAGAGAACTGCAGTGGAGAACAGATCTTCTGTGCTCTCCTTTAAGTACAACAGAGGGAGATGGGAATGATGTAGAAGATGGAAGGTAGAACCAGTTGGTATTTATTCTCTTGTTTTGGGTGTCATTTTAAAGCACTGCATTGTTACTGCAGAGTCTTGAAATTCTTCGACTTGGTCCATCACTTCTAAAGACACCCCCGTCGATCTGTTTTGGAATTTGGAAAGGGTTCACCAATTAACAATATTTTTTTTAAAAGAAAACTGTCCCGTTGTGTTAAACTGACTTAAAATCTCATCTGAATGTTGGAAACTGGACTCAGCTCAACCAACCCCCAAAAGAAATTTCTGAAGCTCTAGTGGCTAGATAAGCAAGTCCCCAAGCTTCCAAACCTTGAGGAGGTGGAGTTGCTGTGCACTCACAGATCTTTCTTAACCAATCTCAGGAGAATCTCCAAATGCAACTAGTACCATTAATATGGGCAAATATCTTTACTACAGACTCTAACAGCTGTTTCTTGCCCTGTGATTTCTTAACCTCTTCAGCTCAAACTGCTTAACCTCCAGTGGTGTGTGGTCAGTGGACTAGGGGGACTGGGTAAATTAGAGCATTAAAGCCTGGTGCCTCCTTCCCAAAGCTCGGGATGCTTCTGCCCAACTGAGGGAGGGAGGTGTGATGCTCTGACAAGGTCCAAGAGCCCTCCTGCCACCTTCCCAAAGCCCAGAAAGCTTCTGCCTGGCTTAGGGAGGGAGGCACAATGCTCATTCCCCCCCCCATTGCCCTTGCAAGTTGGTGCCTCTAGTCCTAACTGTTCCCCTATGAAAATTTTCACCGCACGCCACTGTTAACCTCTTTAGCTCATAACAAAACATAAGATAATTCCTCTCAGACGCATCGCTGAATGCAAATCGTAACAGTTTCCTTTCCTCCTGGGCTTAGCCACAGATCTGTAGAAGCTTAACAATTCCCCTTTCTTCTTTTCCTTACCTATGTGTGAGCAGCAGTTGGTGTTCAGGACTCGGACTAAAAATAGAGTAAGTTAAAAACCACTCGCTTTCCTCATTGTATCTCATTTTCTATTCTGAGCTATAGAAGAACTCTGGGGGAAATAACGTTCAACATATATTGCTTCAGAACATGATGAGCTGTACAACTCATATTCTGTACCAAGTTTGGAGCCATTGCTAGACTTTAAACAATCTTCTTTTTTTTAACTTTGAAAAATTTATTTGATTTCATTGATATTTTTTTTATTCTCCAACTTGAAGCAGCACATGGGTCCCCTCCTATTTTATTCTCAAAACAACACTGTGAAGTAATTAAACTTGAAGGAATGGCTGACCTCAACTTTGCCCAATTAGTTTTGCGGCTAAGAATGTGAAGCCAGGCCTTTGTTTTAAATCCACCCCTCATGCTGACCTTAGCCCACCCCATCAAACAAGGGCAACAACACCCTGAAAGAATTACCAAGTTTTCAGGGGTTATAGGCCACAGGAAGGCCCAGTCTACTTCTATAGGATTGGGACAAGTTCAGAAGTTTGGCAAGGCATTGATAATGTCATGGAACGGGTGTGGGGCCTACAGGCTTCAGAAAATAATTGATACTTTGGGAAAAACAATTTCCCGCCATGCATTTCTTCCAAACTTCAAAATGGAACACAAAATGGAACCCTGGAGTTCAGTATCTTGAGGCCACTCTTCTGACACCATAATGCAGAATGTGTAAGTCAAAAGGACACACGCTTGCAATGATATATGAATAAGGTTATATTATTGATGTTTTCTTCTTCTTCATACTTCTTTCAGTAATTTGGGTGTGCAGGCCTCACCTTAGAAACCTCCTTAGCCTTATCAAAACACTTTGTTTTATTTGGCAGAATTATTCAGATGTTTGGTTGAGGGCAAACCTCTGCATTCAACAAATTCTTGCTGCAGATGACATTTTGGTGGAAACTCTATGTCTGTTGGCAAATGTCATTTGTAGATGACATGGTTGTGTACTTGGGAGCACATGAATAATGCATGATGCACAGTATTGGAAAAAGGGCAATAGATGAATGAAAGTTGGTAATTTATTATTTATTTTATCAATGTGCTCTTACAAGGCAGCTTACATATCATAAAAACATAATACAATTCAGAAAGCAAACACAGACAATTGATCTGGCAACAAAGCACAAAAATTCATTTAAACACATGAAGAACATAGGCCAGTTAAATAAAACAGCAAATAGGAGTTGCTGAAGATAAAAAGGATTCTGATTTAAGCCAGTAAAATGCAAAAACCTAAATCAAGAAAAAGTGGCCTGAAATAGTTTTTTTTTAAAAAAGAAACTGGCTTACACTTTAGTCCAATGCATGTTTGCTTGGAAGCAAGGTTGTTTTTATTCAGTTGGGCCTATTCTTTGTGACTTTGTTTAGGATTGCAGCTTTAAAGTGGGGAGGGAGTTCTAATCTGTGGGTGACTACAAAAAACGCCCTCATTCTCTCATGCCTGCCAAAATTGCAACCATACAGTTTTTCATTTTCTTTATTACATTGTATAGGACCATCTGGGGTGACGAACCTATGACCATTAGATGTACAGCTTCAACTCCCATCATCCCTGGCCATCATCCTGTTGGCTGGGGTTGATAGGAATTCAAGTCCTATATCCTCTGGAGGGCCTTGAGTTAACCACCACTGAGGTAATTTATAGAGACGCTCTTGGAATTAAATCTATCTGGAATTGCTGGTGTTCATCCCTGACATGCTGATTTCAGTCTAGATTGATTTTAGATCCCACCATCCACAGACGTGGGTGTGGTTACTGTAGGAGATTGTGAATGATGGGAAGTACCCCCAACCCCCATGAAGCACTCAGGAATCAAACCTTGTTCCAAGAAGAGCTTTATTCCTGTTGCAGTCTTGGGTGGTTCATCAAGGTACATAATGCAGTCTTCTTACAATACCAGCATCCATGTGTCGCAAGTATGCCAGCTCATACAGGAGACATCACATAGAGGGGAGAAGCCAGCAGCAGGAGTCAATCATACCTTTTTTAAAAAAAACCCTGACAGTTAAGTCCAGTCGCGAACGACTCTGGTGTTGTGGTGCTCATCTCGCTTTACTGGCCGAGGGAGCCGACGTTTGTCCACAGACAGTTTTTCTGGGTCATGTGGCCAGCATGACTAAGCTGCTTCTGGCGAAACCAGAGCAGTGCACGGAAATGCCATTTACCTTCCCGCCGGAGCGGTACCTATTTATCTACTTGCACTTTGACGTGCTTTTGAACTGCTAGGTTGGCAGGAGCTGGGACCAAACAATGGGAGCTCACCCTGTTGTGGGGATTCGAACTGCCGACCTTCCGATCGGCATGCCCAAGGCTCAATGGTTTACACCACAGCGCCACCCACATGCCTCTATTCATATCTTTAATTAGTCTGCAGCTAGTTAGTATGAAGTAGTTAACTCCCCACCACTCGTGAATCTGACTCATACTCCATGAGTCAGCATGCTTACCTAATACAAAGTATTTATGTATGCCACTACCATGGCCTGTGTTTTGTTAGCCCCCAAAAGGAAAACGAGCGAGGTCTCAACCAAGGAAGAGTGGCAAATTAAGCTGACAGAATATGCACAGATTGCAGATTTAACATATAGAATAAGAGAATAAGAAGAACATACATTTAGAGGAGATTGGAAAACGTTTATTGAATATATGGGAAATAACTGTTTACAGCTAAAAATGCTGGCAGCATTAAGATAGATTCAACAGTGTAAATAAGTTATGATGGATGTAATAATGGAACACTGAATGGTATAGTTTCTGTAAAATATGCATGGATATATGATATGTAAAATGAACCAAGGAAAGAGAAGAAGGGAAGTCACTGATATCTTAAGGATATAAAAATGAGTGCTTTAAACTGTAAAACAGAAAAAATAATAAAATATATATACAAAGTATTAACTGCTTGATAACTACAACCCTTTGTATGAATGCCAAACAGGGGTGCCGACTTGAATAAAATATGGGGGGGGGTAACCCCAGTCCCACAAAATTAATCACAAGATGTGGCACATGCACACCACTTGAATGTCATTGCTCATCAACTCCCCCCCAGCCCCCTCAAATCATTTATGGGGGGATGAAGGGACTTCTGCCCCTAGGAGTTGGCTCCTATGATGCCAAAAGTTACCAGATACACATTTGAAAACACTTCCCTTGATTAGGTTATCCACTCATATTCCTCCTTGCCCACACCCCAGGTGAATGAAGAAGAAAGTGGAAGATTGCGATCCTGGTCTATGTCCACTTACATCATTGGACAGATGTGGCTACACCTCTAGTGCCATGCGTGTCCACATCTGTTTTCAAATGCACACTCAGAATCAATTGGCAACAAGCTTTTATTTTCAGAACAAAACCAGTTTCTCAAGAACTGGTTAAAACGTTTCAGGGGTTTTAAAAACCCTGATATGTGGGCTGCATAATAAAAACAGATACTCAGTCTTCATTGATTCTAGAATAAAATGTTGCGCGTACGCAGGGGTGCATGGTTACAGTAAACACTTCCAAAGCAAATGTATCGTGTCATTCAACTCTTTACAGTTGACCAAAAAGGGCTTATATATCTTGCTTTTGCAGGTTTTCTGTGTAATCCTTCACATCTTTATTTTGAAACAAATCCCACTGAATTCAACCCTAGTAAGTGTGCATTGGATTGCAGCTGTAAGCAGCTAACTACCTGTGATATAATTTAGAGCCTGTTGTGTTTATGATGTGGTTCATTTTGAATCTGAGTGTGGGTGGCCAAACGTATCAGCACATATTACGTGCCTAAGCTGCTTTAGTGTGTTATCGCTCAGAAATTCAACTGTCTTTTTACAGCCCCGAAAATAAGATATGTTGTCATGGTGTTAGACTGTGTTATGTATTGGATTTTCCTTGCAACAGCTGCAGTCTTGTCAAACTGCCTTTTGAAACAAAATTATGTTTCATGTTGGGAAAAAAGGCAGCGCTTGAGTCTCTTTCTAACTAAATGGCACCTATTGTTTTATTGCTGTATGCTCCCCCACCCCTCTCTTTACAAATTGTTTCACAGTTACAAGATGTTTTTTGTGTGCATTCCGTGAAAGGCCCCTTTCATTCCAGTTTTGTCTGTATAGAGCACTAGCAAAAACAGGAGATGGTGCTCTCAATAAGTGGCTGCTGCTGCTGCTTTTCAAAGGGGATTTGCCAAATCCAGGTCAAAAAAGCACAGACCTTCGCTGCTTGTAGTTATTGCAAAGCCCATAGTTGCCGAAAGCTTCTTTGGATGCTGGCTAGATCACTTTCCGAATATTTCTGCATCCTTTTAAGAGTTCTGGTGCTTTTTGTCATGAGCCATTGAAAGCTGCAAGGTGGATGGAGAACAGGGTAATGTTGTCTTTTGAAGTCTGGCACTCTTCTGCTAATTAAGTCTCTAGGTTTTCTTTTCCCATTCAGATTTCTTGTTTCAGCAGTGCCACCTGGGGACAGTCCCATCTTCCAAATTTCAGATGTTTGCATGCCTGGGTCTCTGCTTCCCCTTGATTTTTCTTCTTCCCGTTTTCACCCCGCATGCTAATGGCTGCTCAAGCTGAAGCCTGGGATAGGCATCTGTCTGCCAGATTGTATTTTTGCCACTCAGTTGGTTATCGTGATATGTGAAGTTATGTGATGGTTGATCACGTATAACCCAAAGGGTACATTGTGTGAGACAAACAGACAGATAGGCAAAGAATTTCCTCCTTAAAGCTTTCCTCCTTAAAGCTTTCAGTATTAAATGCAACATGGATTGTTCTCTGCTTCTTCCAAACTGGCAATGGAAGTCTGAAGAGAAAAGGGTTGGATGGAAAGAAGGAAATCATTTCTGATGTCCATATTCCACCCTAATCTATTGATAAAACAGCATGCAATGTTTGATTGTAACATGAAAATTGCTTTTGCTAACTATGTTGGTAGAAAAGGGCAGAGGAGAAAATGGTTGGAATTAGTTAGAATAATTGGGGTGCGGGGAGAGTGAAAACCAGACATCAAGTGGGCCCAGCTTTTGGACTGAAAAACCTATCTAAACATGTGGTCCGCTAGGACTCAACTATTTAAGCATATAAAGATAAAACACTGGTCACTTGTGCTTTCATCAAGTCTGCAAAGGTACAATGTGTGAAACCATCACCACTGTTAATACGTCAATTTTGAACCACTTGGCTTGAAATAACCTCCAGTGATTCAGTAAATCTGTATTGTAACTTCTGTATTGTTAAATCAACATGGTCAAAGGGGTTGCCTTAATCCACATTTAGGTCCCCCCCCCTTTGCTAACTTTTCCATGGATTAATCAAAAAGAAACAGGACACAGCAAAAAGATTGTTTACTTTTTCAAGTTAGTAATGTTTTGTAGCATGGGTCAGGCAGAATCAAAGAGCACACAGAACAGCGTTCAGATTAATAAATCTAGTCTGCTTTGACAGTGTCAGAGTTTTGTAGTTTATGTTCTGGTCTGTTAGATTTGCAGTCTAATCCACTACTGAGCGATGATTACAATCTCTCATAAGCTGCTCCTCAGTAGGATATGGCAGCTTTGGGGTGGCTTTTCCTTCTCTGTTTTCTCACTATCAGTCTATAGCAGGTTTCTAATCATGTTTCTTAGGGCACCAGGCACTCTTCCCAAAGATCTTTCCCACCCTTTCTGGATTTGTTATGATGCTCAATCTCTATCACCTGTTTTGAGAGCTGGGCTTTTTGTTTTTGTTTTTGCACAGTTTCTCTCTCTCCAGTCTCCTTGCACTGGGGAAATATTACATCATACAGCAACTTTGGCAGGAATTTGTAATAATATATACTAATAGCAAACACATTCTCTGAGGGCCGATACTTTTGTAGCATGCAGCTGCAGAAGTGGTGGGTGGCTCTGCCACTGTGTTTGCACCGTACTGACTTCCCTGTTGCCTCATGTTTCTTCCTCCTGGCAAGCACAGCAACACGGCTGACAGGAGGCCAGGTAAGCAGTGCCACCCCTTTTTTCCAACCCCCCCCACGATGAGATGTATCTGCTGTATTGCTGTATTACCTGACTGACTGATGTGCTATCATCACACCATTCTTCCGTGTCCATTCTTTATGTGGACTGAAATGTCATGGATGATCTATTGATAACATGTGGCTTAAGGTTCATTCAGAGCTCTTTGAATGGATTTTAAATGTTTCATACCTATGTACAGGTGACTTAAAAGCCCATACTGACACTCTGTATATTGCGTCTAGCATTTAGTACTGTATTCACTTACCATGTTTCTCCCCCAGTTGCAAGTACCATCTGAACATTAGTGGTGACAATAATACTGGCAAGAATGGAGAGACTGAAAAGACATACCTATTAATATTGAGGGAATAAAGAGTCTGGAGGGAAAACCACCTTTGCAATTGCCAGTTAAGAATAGCAGCAAGGCTGTGCTTCCAACATGTAGTCTTTCTCATTAGGTGCAGGACTTTCTCTGTGGTTGCCCCAGTTAACTGTGGAACACTCTCTCAGGAGAGACTCATTTTGGTCTATCTCTCTTGACTAAGGAAGGAAGGAAGTCCTATCCTTTTAGGAAGTCATTTCATTACTGAAGGACCAAGTGATTGGTGTATGGAATTTTGTACGGCATTGCTTCATGTTTTTATGCTGCTTTATATAAGCCACTTTGAACTCAGGAGAGATGGAATTAAAAAAAGTAAATAACATGGAGTTCATTTCAGGAGAGGCCTTTTTGGCAGTATCACACAGAGACTGCTAGATAAGTTCAGGTCTTAAATGTTTCAAGAAAGAACAGCATAACATAACTTTGCTCTCCTTAAGAAATACATCAGTATTCTGCTCATATGTTAGGGGCTTGAAAAATACATTGAATGTATAATGTTTGGGAGCTGAGAGTAATTCAGTGGCTTGTAGAATGATTCCTGAGCATGTAAGTTATGCAGTTGTACAGTGAATTAACGTAATGCATAGATTTTAAAGTGGAAATAGGTGATTTTTCCAGTTTCCCTCCATAGTGCAAGTGATAGCCATTTTCCTGGTATTTCCTGCACAAGAATAAAATATTACTTTAATGCATTCTCTTTTCTCCAAAAGCTCTGTGGGAACAGGCAA